AACATATATAGTATATAATATAGATACTGTCAAAAATAACTTTGTATAGATACTTTCAAAAATAACTTTCTATTGATACTGCCAAAAAAGACTTGTGTAGATACTATCAAAAATAACTTTATATAGATACCATCAAATATAACTTTATATAGATACTTTCAAAAATAACTTTATATAGATACCATCAAAAATAACTTTATATAGATACCATCAAAAATAACTTTATATAGATACTATCAAAAATAACTTTTTATTGATACTGCCAAAAAAGACTTGTGTAGATACTATCAAAAATAACTTTATATAGATACCATCAAATATAACTTTATATAGATACTATCAAAAATAACTTTATATAGATACCATCAAAAATAACTTTATATAGATACCATCAAAAATAACTTTATATAGATACTATCAAAAATAACTTTTTATTGATACTGCCAAAAAAGACTTGTGTAGATACTATCAAAAATAACTTTATATAGATACCATCAAAAATAACTTTATATAGATACTATCAAAAATAACTTTTTATAGATACCATCAAAAATAACTTTATATAGATACTTTCAAAAATAACTTTTTGTGGATACTTTCGAAAATAACTTTTTATAGATACTTTCAAAAATAACTTTTTGTGGATACTTTCAAAAATAACTTTATATATATAATGCAGAGTTGATGAAAAATACAGTGGTTATTTAAGATGATTTAAAACAAGATGCAAACGGACGAAATATGCTGTTTCTTACTCGACGTAAGGCTGCTCCGATCTTTCGCATCTTAGAGGGTTTCTTGACTGAAATTAGAAAAGAATTTTAAAGCAACGTAAATATATTTGGATTGGTTGATACAGTCTCCATGCTAAATTTTAGGGTGAATATTGCTTTATGTTTTATATGGTTTAAATATCTGTCGCATGGATATTTGAGTTAAAGGGACAGATAGGTCATTTTTGTGACCAATCATTGACCAATCATACTCTTAAGTCTCAGAAACTAGAATTTTTTAGCTGAGCTAATCAATTATAGTGTTCACAGCTCACTGTCGAAATTTGAGCCTTGAAATCCATGTGTGTCCGGAATTCTTATAATGTTAAAATGACGACCCGATATGTCTTCTTGATTTCAGTGTCTCAAACCAATGGACTTACTTAGCTTGACGGATTTCCGTGGTTTCATCTTCTGGCAAATCTCTTTTTGTGTGTTCAAAAAAGGTTGGGTAAGAGTAGATGTAACAACAACATATGATTAAAATAACGAAAGCACATGCCAAGGTGAAAATTCAGATACATCTGTATGATATTTATAAATTAATAAATAAAATTATAAGTAATACTAATTAATGAATAATTCGAAAATAATAGAGAATATATATACATGTGACTGAAGGTCGTCGACCAACATCCTAGGAACTAAGATGGTTTAACGAATGGTTTTCCAAGTTGAAATGATTAGATACAGGCTAATTTGATTCTAATCTGTGAAATGAAAAGTTAGAGTTATTTTTCGTTTCTCCTACATATTGCTTTGGGAACCTCTTACTAGTAAATGAGCTAATAAAATTATATTCGAGTATTTAGATTTTCCAGGATCAGGTACCTTTTCTTTCTAAAAAAATATAACGAGTTCTTGAAATGAAGGGCATGTTTTGCAACTGCTTGACAAATGATGGTAAAATTGTCTTCATTGATTGTAGATAAAGGTAAATGATGGTTAAAAATGTCCATATTGTTCCAGAAAAAGGCAAATGATGGTAAAGATGTTTATGTTGATTGTAGATAATGGTAACTGATAGTAAAGCAGTCTTTATTGATTGTAAATAAAGGTAAATGATGGTAAAGTTGTCTATATTAATTGTAAATAAAGGTAAATGATAGTAAAGTTGTCTATATTAATTGTAAATAAAGGTAAATGATAGTAAAGTTGTCTATATTAATTGTAAATAAAGGTAAATGATGGTAAAGTTGTCTATATTAATTGTAAATAAAGGTAAATGATGGTAAAATTGTCTGTATTGATACTAATTAAAGGTAAGTGATTGTAAATTGTGGTTAAGTGATAATTATTGACTGTAGATAAAGATGAGTGAAGGGTAGATGATGTTAATATTGTCTATATGGATTGTAGATAAAGGTAAGTGATTGTAGACTGTGGTAAAGTGAGATATTTATTGACTGTAGATAAAGATGAGTGAAGGGTAGACGATGTTAATATTGTCTATATGGATTGTAGATAAAGGTAAGTGATTGTAGATTGTGATAAAGTGAGATATTTATTGACTGTAGATAAAGATGAGTGAAGGGTAGATGGTGTTAATATTGTCTATATTGATTGTTAATAGAGGTAAATGATTGTAGATTGTGGTAAAGTAAATTATTGACTGTAGATAAAGATGAATGAAGGGTAGATGATGTTAATATTGTCTATATTGATTGTAGATAAAGATAAGTGATTGTAGATGATGATGATAAAAATGTCTTTATTGATTGTAATTAAAGGTAAGTGATTGTAGAGTGTGGTAAAGAGTTATAATATAATGATTGTAGCAGATGGAACCTTGACCACCATGATTTTTCTTACAAGTCTTTACTAATCGCCAAATAGTAGTTAACCGCAAGCATCAGAGTTATTATATTTTTACGACAAAATGGCACCATGTATGTTCACTGCTGAATATAATTTTATTGTACCAAGTTTGAGAATTGAAATTTTATGTTAATTCTGAAAGATAGTATTTCTATAAGATGCAAAAATAAACTGAAAATATAGTTTTCATGTATGATAAAAATTGTGTAATATCTGCAGGCCATCAATTTCTTGTTTATATGGGCTTGTACATATTGCTAACTGTTTACCATTATAATTAAATGATATTGATCAGTCATTGGTAAAATATTAGTCCGAAAAATCTGCCTCTATTTCAGCTTCTGAGTCAGAAAAAAATTGTCTATGTGTTATGGCTACTTTGCACACCTCCGAAAATACGTGTTTTCTATCTTAAAGGTATACTCTCTTTTAACATGAGCAAAAATTGATATTTTGAAACTTAAAATGAATCTCTGTTCATCAGTGAACTTACCTGTTGTCATAACTATACAACAGAATCCATCTGTAATCCACTAACTAACTTTGAATCATGCTTAGAAGTTTGAGACTTAAATTGTATGTCCATTGTAAGAGGTAGTTATCTTTTAATCTTGACTTATATACGATGACTGTAAATAAGTGATGAGCATCAGAAAATCAGGGGGTCGTCTACTGACGAGTACTCGGACCAGTTGAGAAATAAGAACATTAGCAATTCATATAAGAAATTTTTACAATAATAGAATAATAATATAATATACAATACAATCAAACATAAACTTGTTAAACTTCAACACAGCCAAAAGCATTCATATGATTAAGAGATTATTGAGTACTAGAAATTACTTGTATTACTCGGTTATCTGGAACTTCACCCAGCTAGAACGGCAACGAGATACTGTATTATTAGAATTTAAGAACATAAATCGGTCTGTGCCATATCAGAACAACCGTAAGTCGGTATCTTGAATCCTCTGCCGAAAGGTGGATATATTAGAATTTAAGAACATAAATCGGTCTGTGCCATATCAGAACAACCGTAAGTCGGTATCTTGAATCCTCTGCCGAAAGGTGGATAGCCTCCACCATCCCACCAGGTCATTTGAGATTTGATATTCGCGAATTGAAAAGAACGTTTTTACCATGCAGTCTGCAATAAAAAGTTTTATTACGTATGACGAAACGAAACAATAAATAAATCTTGTTCTTTTTCAACATGCAAATGTTTATCAATCTCACTGTGGTGAGTTTGAACGCGAATTAAAGAAAGTGCGCCGTGTTATTTTGTCTTAAAATTCTACTTGTGAGTAGAGATAATGTCGGTGACTGCATTTCCTACTTTCTGTTGTTAAATCGCCTAGTCATAGATTTCCTCGAATTTTAAGTATTGTAACGTTACAACATTGAAGCATCTAGATTTTCTGTCTCTACGTTAGAGTAAAATTGTCAGAAAAAGCTCTAGTGGCATAGGTTAACGATAGTATGTTTCGGACTATTCTGACATTGTGGTAAGAGTTATCGTTCCTTAACTTGATTTCCGGTCATTCAATAAGCCTACTTAACCAGTATTTCGCTTCTCAACGAGTTTTAACAAGTGAGGAGAAAATGGGAAGTTATGTATGACACTAACCTCCTTCTTGTGGTAAAATTGAGCGAATTTGTTTAAAGTTTAAGTTAATCTTACCGATTGATCATTCTTGGCGAAAGTGAAGAACTGTGCGGTGAAACTGGGAGTTGAATCCATCGAAAACAAGTGAAATAAACTATTTCTAGTGTTTCAACTGCGTCTTGTGTAAAAAAGGTGATACTGCTTGTTTATCTATTTTTATTATAACCTAATTTTGAGATTTTTCAGTCACCGATGAATCTAGATTTGGAATTCGAATCCATCACCAACGCATCACCAATAAACAATGCTTTATTGCCAGACATCTACAACCGTCCTGATGCTGAAATTCAGGAGTGTTTAATACTCTATTGGAGAAGCGGTTGGTGGTACAAGAGAAGGTCCTAAATATACATAAACATGATGTAAAAGTGAGTCACGATAACGAAGACTCGTATATGGTCTGAACAATGGACTCGCAGAACGAGCTTTTAATAAACGGAAAATGAACCCTTTGAACATGGAGAAGAATGACATGCCCTTTTGTGAACAAAATTTGTCACATTTTCTATCTAATAAGGGAAAGTACTATAAAAAGTCGAAAGCCAAAAAGGTGTCCCAGGCGCCAAAAGACAAATTGCCTGCAGATGTTAATGCACAACCAGAAACTGATGCGCAGGAAAAAGCAAATTTTATGGACACTAAAGAACTAGAGCATCAGAAGCAATTTGAACGCCAGTAATCGGGATAAAGTCATGATCAAAATAACGGGACAAGTAGATACAAGTTATGTATTAAGTGTTCAATGCCGGATTGAAAGACGCTTTTCTCTTTAAAGCTTTAATGTTTATGATTTTGTGTTAACTTTCTTTGTGTTGCCATGTTTTAAGAAAGATGTCATTGACTTGTTCTTCTACTTAGCACAGTCATGATGTATTTTAACGAAACTTAATACTTTGTACATTGTTTATTAATAAATCGAAACATTAAAGAACATACATGTAGTTCACCATATTTGGAGGTTGATTTTGGATTCAGAAGTATTACAATTACATGGATATCTCAAACTAGAAATTTCACATGTATTTCTATTTACGTCTTGTCTCAGAAAAAGGCGAGTCGTCATTTTAACTCAAACGCGGATAATTCTGGACACACTTAGATTTGAAGTCTAAAATTTTAACGATGAGCTGTGAACTCTTTTACTGATTAGCTAGAGAATTCGGGTTTCCAAGACTAATGTACGATTGGTGAATCTGTCCCTTTAATGTTTAATGTGACAAATATCTCAAAATCCAATCACTATCTACAGTAAAGTCTTGTTTTGGGTGTGAAAAACATCTCACTAATTGACAATTAACAGTGTTGATTAAATTAGGACCATAATTAAAACTGATACAGTTGTTCATCTGTAAACATTGATGGCTACACTCATATACATTGGTTACTTCATATGGTAAGAGTGTACAATTTGGTGGTCTGGAACGTGTACCTACCACTTTCTTTATATTAATTTCTGTAATAAATTAATAATATAAACAACTTAGTTGTTGCAATCATGGTACTATTTGATGAATAGGCCCATGTCGTTTTAGTTTAATGAAAATTTGAAAGAACTTACTTTGACAAAATCTTAAAAAAAAATTAAGTTTTAGCGGCAAGTAAATCAAATATTTAGTTGACTATAATCCCATTATTAGAAGTATATATCCCTTTATTCTAAACCTACCAGATAAGTACTGTGTTGAACAGCCATTGTATATATCACCAAATATCTCTAATTCACATATTGATAAATAATCTAGGTTGTTCAAAACAAACAGAACAAATCTTCCCATACATATTTTCGTACATGTTAAATTTGTCCAGGTGCCTCTCGCTGCTGTGTTCGGGTAATGGACACAAATACAGTATTCAGTATCCACCATGTTATATTTGATATGAGGACCAGGATCATATTGCCAAACAGAAACAGTAAAATTGTTCAATCTATCACCTAAAATTATTGTTGGAGAGTTGTTCACAGGAAATTTGGTCCCACTTAATATTGGTCACAGTTAATACAAAGCAAATTATATTGTGACCAAATTACTTTGACCTTTTGACATATTTTCGGATTGCCCAATTTAATGCATCTTCCTTTTGGAGATCTTAATCATGCACAGAGAACCATTTTAGATATAACTTCTCCCTAATTCAAAATGTAAAATAAGGAGAAGATTAAAGTCTCCTTCTCTCCGATAAATTCAAAATTCTTTACCACTACCGTCCTGTCTATTTAAGACCTTAATACTTGTAATTTCATATTCAGTTTCTAAGTCAACCAACAACCAATTGAGCGTACTGGACAAGGGCATTCACTTTTGCTCCCTATTTGTAATACATGTAAACATAAGTAGAAAAATAGAATTCTAAAATTCCTTGGAATGAATGTGGAAAACCATTTTTAGATATAATTGATCCAAATATTACAGTGGTGTAACCTATTTTCGTGGATATAAGGATTCAACACCGAATTTCGTCAAAGTTAAAAAAACGAAAAAAAAAATTTATGTCTTAGATGTTTCCTCAGATATTCTACAAAATAATAGAAATTGGTTTATTTCGATTTTCTTAACGAATCCTTCACTTTGACCCATATTTCATGAGCAACCAACTCGGGAACTGCGGCAGAATGCGTCACCTATTTTCGTGTACAATGTTTGATCTATAAATAAGTCTAGAAAAACACGTTGTATGGATACCGGGTGGTATAATTAACTTCTCTTAGTATTTATCTTTAATATCAATTCATTATAACCAGTGACAATTCCTTCAAAGAACCACGATTTATAAAAAAAAAATAGTGACTGACAAAATATGATACGTAGCGTGATTTATTGCTAAAAGTCACTGAAACAACATAAGAATATGGTCCACTTTATGTTCCATAGAAATTTTCTGCTGACACGGAATCTGCTAGTTGACCACGTGACTTCATTCGTTGGATTATATTCTAGCAGACGACACTTGGAATTCCGATTACCGCTCGGGATTATAATGAAATTCGGCCGATAAAAAATGGTGACGTTTGGTAATAAGTGAAATCCGCCATTTTGTATTTGTCAAAGTATACATTAATACATTTTACCTTGCTTGAAATTACTGGATTCATTCTACCAGCTGACATTGTACAGAAAACCCCATTTTCATTAAAATAAACTAATTCGGAGGTCGCGCAAAGTCGCTCACGTAAATTATCAATCATTTCCGAAAATCCACGAATAATAGGTTTCCACGAAATTAGGTTACTTGACTGTAAATATAAAATAAAGAGAAGAGTAAAGTCTACAGTCAAAATACTTAACCTGCTTCGTCTTGTCTATTTAAGACATTGATACTTGTAATTTCATATTCAGCTTGTAAGTCAACCATCAACCAATTGGGTGTATCTGTTGGATATGTTGTATGAGAGCAACTATAGTCGTCGTTCATTAGACTTCCATCGACCGCATTGGAAGAATATAAACCATGATTGCCATAATAACTAGTTTGTCTTGTTGGTTTGTTTAGTGCCAGATTCTCTAATCCAAAAACTTCAATCAAAAACACGAAAAATTATCTCACCAAGGAAATAGAGTAATTTATTTACAGCTAAACTAACTGTTATGATAATTGTAAATGAGCTTTTATAAATGTATTACAGTATTAGGTAAATTAGCGTATACATCTTTATTTACAACATGAAGTAATTCTAAATAAGCGAATACAATACATTTATTAACAGCAAGAGCTTTATTTTAAATTAGCGGATACAACTTCATTTACAACAAAACCTAATGTAATTGTAAATGTGCCTATACAATAACTTTACTTACAGCATAAGGTTTATTTTAAATGAGCGCATACATTTTTATTTACATCATAGCTTAAGCTAACTGTTTTCATGAGCGTTTACAACAGATTTTGTTTCACGTGGTAATTGTAAATAAGCTTTTGTAAATTTATTACAGCAAAATGTAATTGTAAATGAGCGTATTCATCTTTATTTACAGCATGTGGTAATTGTATGTCTGCGAATAAAATAATTTTAATAGCAGCATAATACCTTAAAGCAATAGTAAATGCGCGAATACAATAACTTTACTAACACCACGAGGTTTATTTCATATGAACTACACAAAACATGGCCTGATGCAATTGTAAATGAGCGTATACAATAACTTTACTAACATGAGGTTTTTTCATATGAGAGTTTACCAGTTTATTTACAACATAACCTAAGGTAATTGTAAATGAGGGTGTCCAATAACTTTACAAACAGTATGAAGTTTATTTTGAATAAGCGTATAAAACATTCAATACATTGTTTTTATAAACAGTTACAACTTAAGGTAATTGTTAAAGAGCACCAAACCCACGACAGTTCAATTGTGCTTTGAGAAATGTTTGTATAATTATGATAAACTTTTGTTTATTTCGAAACACTGGTTTGTTTATTTTTTGTTAAGTAACATCTGGCTACAAAGTCAAATCACTTACCAACTATTTTATCAGTATGCCAGAATCCAAATAAAAACAACAATTTCATCCACATAAATGTCATATTTTCAAATTGGTCTATTCTATATAATTATACTCCTTTATTTCCCTCAATTTTGAAGATTACAACATGTTGACTACTGCAAAAAAAAAATTCGCGTCGCTATAACAACCATTGAATAATATATATCTAGGAATCATTGCCGTCAATTATGTCTCTAAATACTGAAAGGTGAGATGACAACATTCCCTAAGAAACCCATAATAAAAATAACTATGTTTGATGTTCTATAAATTATTTTACGAGTGGTTGTCATTATATTTTTATATTTGCCTGTAGATATTTTTCAGATGGAATTCATTAAATAATCCTGAAAAGATTTTCATTCTATCATCAATGTTTCTTAAATTTTTGCTATTTGTTTCAACATTTATGAACTACTTGTTGAGTTGCCATCATTTTAACTCTATTCTGCTACATGTTTAAAACATCTCAATTTTCAATTTCCAATAGACTTGCATGGAATGTACTATACAGGGCACTGTGGGGTCAATATTTAACTATGAATATGAAAAAGGTAATAGGTAAATTATAACTATACTCAATAGAGTAGGAATATACTTGATAAAATTAAATACTCTGACATCTCTAATTGTGTAAACGGGTCCTTCCTTAGACACTATAAACAAGTCTCTAAGAGCACGGCATTAAAATCGGTTAACGAATGAAAACGTGTTATAAATTACTCATAACATGATTGACAGAGGTCTGACAGACAGGGGAGTGACTTTCATATTATGTAATAACAATTGCACGTGCATTAAATGCTGTATTTTGGTATACCTAATATACAGGTGATAACAGTGAAAATAAAAGTAAAATTCGAGAGTATAAAACAGTACATGTTACATATTAAAATCACTAATCATGTAAAAAAATATGAAACAAATATTATATTAAAAGTGTATAAATAATTATTTTATAAATGTTTCTCGTTATAGTTAAATAATATCGACCAGTCATTGGTAAGACATTCCAATTCGTCTTCGTCTTATGTCTGTGGTTCCTACAATTCCATTCCGGAAATGACAAATGAATTCGTAACCATTACACAACCAGACCACAATAACATAATAATATATGTTATCTCCCCTTACAAGATGGAGGCATTTCTAAGTTAAAAATTTCCGACTCATTCACATTTTGATACACCGTTCTCTCTTATCTCTTTATGACGTCTTATATTGCTTAACTGTAATGAAATGGAAGAGTTGTATGGCATTTTGTGCAAATCAAGGCGCTAAATATTCTTATATATGATAAAATGACCGGTTTTGAATACAGTGAGGTAAACATTTAGTAAGGTCAAGTTAGTCTTCCAGATCCAGTAGACTGTAGACTAACACAGGCATTGAACGAAGAACTGGAATTTCCCAAATAGAAGTTAAAGGTGTCTCCGATACACATAAAAAGGCTAGAACACCTCTTTACAATCCCTTTCACCATTATTATTTTGGTGACGATATTTTGGAGGAAGTGCATGATGGATCTAATCTGAAATTTAATTTCAACGCGAACAATTCCGTGCAAGACATAAATCATTGGTGAAACGTGAACAACCGAATCAAGATCTGATAATTGAATCCAACGAAAAGGGTCTACCAGTATGACAATGAAAATGCTAATACTTATATGAATAGAAAGTGTTCTAATGACTTGGAAAAATACCAGTTTGTCTTACACGTCCATAATTAGTTAATAATTAGCTAAATTAGAAGGGAATTCCAAAGGTGATCGATCAAGAAAAGTCAAAAAGTCTTTTTTTTTTATCCAGACTGTACATCAGAGAGCAGATATTTCTTCATTATCACGCCTGGCGTGTAAAGTTACAACTGCGTGTAGTTTAAACCAGTTTATTCGGAAATGTATCCGAGCAAACCAATTGGTGAAAGGCTGCAAAATATACAAAAATTCAAACACGTTCGTCTAATGCAAAACAATTTTAAATGCAAATTAAACACATAGGAACGTTATGGCGGAAAGTGCGTTCCATACAGACGTGGAAACATCGGCGAAATGGGGGTTTTAGACAAACATCAGAAATGTATCAAAATGTGCAAAACAGGTCAGGAACATTACGTAAACAATAAAGGAATAAGCACAGGTCAGTTAATTATTCATTCAGGTAAGCCACAAGTCGGAAAAATAAAAACTTGGGCCTAGGTATGTCACGTGACCCCAATAAACAAAGGAAAATCTCTCATAATAATTCAATAAAATGTATAAAAACCTATCTACGTTATCCATTAAACTTATCAAATAAAATAAAAAACAATTTCTTACATTGTGACCAGCCTAAGCGTGTGAAATCTTAGCAAATCTATCAAAGTTGATAAACGGAAATTGCCAACATCGTAAACAACAAGTTCGATCTGTCCACTTTACTTGCGGAGGTCAGTAATGAACACAAAACGAAACGCAAAATTACGAAATTAAGATAAAGTTACGAATATCAATAGAAATTGTGAATATTCAAATAAAAGTTTATGATAATCAAATATTGATTCTAGTCATTTGCTAAACACTGTTCCAGAATACTCCCCGTCTGGTATCAAGCAGGTGATACCAAACAGAAAATGTTCAAAAGTTGGACATGAATTTAATCTGTTGGTACAAGCACAACAAGTTCACTGATGGGTCGAATGTATGTTGTCGGTTTTCCATCCTTCACTATTCGAATCTCCGTTTTTCGGACTTGAGCATCATCACTTGCGAATGTTCGAAGCACAATACCAAGCGGCCACTCGTTGCGATGCAGTGTTTTGTCTCGAAGTAAGACGACATCACCTTCCTTGACGTTAGGCTCAACGGATTGCCATTTCTTTCTTACCTGAAGGTTGTTCAGATACTCTTTACGCCAGCGGGACCAGAACATATCTGAGAGCGCAATAACACGTTTCCATCCTGCTCGGTAAAGATCCTTAGGGTCAGTTTTCTCGATAAGATCTGTACATGATGGCGAGTTGAGTTTCTGGGTCAAGAGCACTGAAGGCGACAGAACAAACGGATTGTCTTTGTCTGTAGATACTGGAACGAGCGGTCGGTGGTTTACAATACTTGTGACCTCAGCCATGAATGTCACTAACACATCGTGAGTTAGAAATTTGTGTGTTGACTGAAGAAGCATCGAATCTAGGATTCGTCTCGTCACACCTATGAGTCTCTCCCATGCACCACCGAAGTGTGATGCATGAGGAGGGTTAAATATCCAAGTCGTACGTGAGTTATCCAGAAATTGTCCAATCTGAGTGTCTTCTACATTGATCGCATCGATGTGTAAAGGGTCCAAAATTGGTTCCACGATCGGATCTAAAGATGTTGACTTTGCCTCTGATCGCAATAAATCGACGCATCGCATTTATGAAGGCACCTGACGACATTTCTTCCACGACCTCTATATTTATAGCACGTGTTGTTAGACATGAGAAAATGATCGCCCATCTCTTAGAATTAGAGCACCCTCCTCTGGTTCTTCGTTGTATCACAGACCACGGGCCAAACGCGTCCACACCAACATTAGTAAATGGCGGAGTTGATTGAATCCTATCCGAAGGTAGATCTGCCATCTGCTGCACTTCTAAACGACCTCGAAGTTTACGGCACATCACGCACTGGTGGATGATCGATGATACCAAGCGCTTAAGACCAGTTATCCAATAGCCGGCACTGCGGACCGCGCCTTCGGTAAAATGTCTGCCTTGATGTTTCACATTAGAATGATAGTGTTCTACGAGGAGTTTTGCAAGATAACACTTTCTCGGTAGAATAAGAGGATTCCTTTCCTGATATGGTATGCAGTTGGATTTGTTGAGACGTCCGCCAACGCGTAAGGCGTCATCTTTGTCTAGAAACGGATCAAGAGACACAATACTGCTGTTTTTCGATACGTTTCTGCCGTGTCGGATGCAATCGATTTCTTGTTGATACATGTCTTGTTGTACCGTTTTGATGAGAAAGGTCTCAGTTGCCTGAATCGATTGAACTTTCGTTTCCAGGTTGAGTTTCGTAGACCTGATCCTGATGACCCTGCGCAAAAGAGCTATCGCACGCACTAACGAATTCCATTTCGAGAATCGTTGAAATCTGTTTGTTCCATGTTCCGATCTACGTACACTTGATACTTCAGTCTTAGATACGGAAACAATCGGTCTTATCTCCTTGTCACAATCCGGGTCAACTAAAGACGGACTCTCAAGTTCAGACGACTCGACACTACAAAGAAATGAAGTCGGTCCTTTGATCCATCGACTGTCGCCAATCTCTTCGGCTGCCACCGATCGAGTGGCTTGATCGGCCGGATTTATCGCTGTAGGCACAAAGTTCCATTGCTTCGGAGTCGTTGATCTACGGATACGATCAATCCTGTGTTCTACATATATATAAAATCGTCTAGTTTGATTATGAATATACCCTAGAACCACTTTGCTATCAGTATAAAACTTGATAACGTCTAAGGTCAGATCTAGGTTCTCAATTACAGTTTCAGCTAGCTCAACGGCGAGAACGGACGCGCATAGTTCAAGCCTTGGGATCGTGTGTCCATGTTGTGGCGACACTTTAGCTTTCCCAAGTACGAATCCCAAATCACTGTGGTTGTTGTCGTGCACTGCTCGTAAGTACGCAACAGCTCCAATTGCCTTTTCGGAGGCATCTGCAAACACATGTAACTCATAAGACGGAGTTGATTCAGTTGGCATTGAAGGGATATACATTCGAGGTATTTCAAAGTTCTCAAGTGTCTTAAGAGACTCGTGCCAAGTTTCCCACTCTAAACGTTTCTCTTCCGGAAGTGGATCATCCCAGGCTACAGATGACGACATAAGATCTCGTAAGAGCCATTTTCCACGGATTAAGACTGGTGCGACAAATCCTAGCGGGTCGTACACGCTGTTCAGAGTAGATAGGACTCCTCGGCGAGTAAATGGCTTAATCTCGTCCGAAATACGGTAAGTGAACATATCAGTACTTAGGTTCCAATAAAGTCCTAAGCTGCGTTGAAGTGGGCAAGTATCAGAGTCTAAATCTAGATCTTTCAAATCATGTGCAAGATCCTGTTGGGGTAAAGCTGCCATAACATCCTCGCTATTGCACGCAAACTTGTGTAATCTTATGTTTCCCGCATTCATGAGCGATTCCTGAGTACGTGTCAGAAGGCTTATCATCTCCTGACCTGTGTCGACCGATATGAGACCGTCATCTACGTAGAAGTGTCTGTTGATAAAGTCGCGAACGTCTTGATCCGAGTTCTCAACGCACTTTTTCAATCCGTAGATGGCCACGGGGGGCGAAGGAGAGTTCCCGAACACGTGCACTGTCATTCGATAGGAAATGAGTTCCTTCTGCAAATCGTTGTCTCTATGCCACAAGAAACGAAGGAAGTCACGGTGTTTCTCATCAACACGAAACGAGTAGAACATTTGTTGTATATCAGCAGAAGCAGCAATGCGGTTCTTCCTGAAGCGAAGTAACACTCATAGTAGGGAATTATTAAGGTCTGGTCCGCTAAGAAGAACTTTGTTAAGTGAGATATTTCCAAATTTAGCTGACGAGTCAAATACACAGCGGATTTTGTCAGGCTTTTTTGGATGATAGATCCCAAAGACAGGTAAATGCCAAGATTCGGTGCCTTCTTCCAACGTATGAGCAGGTTCGGCGTGTTGGTTGTCGAAAAGATTTTGCATAAAGTCAGTGAAATGTTCACGCTTTTTCTCGTTTTGTCGTAGACTGTGGTCTAGAGACTTCGCTCTGCGTAGAGCCAGCGGAAAGTTGTTCGGCAAATTGTCTCTATTGGGCTTAAAGGGTAACGGGGCACTCCAATTACCAGAGCTATCCTTGTGAAATTCTTTGTCCATAGTTTCAAGGAATATTTTGTCCTCAACGGAAGTTCCGGGTTGATCGTCATTCTGGGTTCGATCAAATATTCCGTCTCCAAGGTTGATTGAATCGCAATCAAAGTTGTCTAGCTTGTTCTTCAACGCTATGTTTTCTCGTACATTTAGAATATTTGGGCACGGTTTCAAGATAGATGGACGCCCATTTGTTGTGACATAAGTTTTGTAAGTGTTCACAGAATCAGGAAGATGTCTTTTGTCCAAACAAACATCTCCGACAATTACCCGTCCTAACTGGGTCCTTTGTGCATACGGGGAATTAATAGGTCCAACCCGTTGATCAAATATGTGATGTACCTCGGGAATGTCACGGCCAAGCAATAGCAGAATGTCTGCATCTTGGTTCAGAGGTTGAAATTCAGACTCGATATCTTGCAAATGACTATGGTGTCTGGCGACATCGGCTGTTGGTATTTCGTTGCGGTTATTGGAATTCCGTTGCACTCGATTATGGTGGGTAGCTTCACCTTTGTTAGACCATCTAACGATTCAACTACAAGACCATTTGCTCTGCGGCCTGTAATTTGCGTTTTTCCAGAACAACTTGTCAGCGTGTATTCCTCGGATTTACACGAAAAGTTGAATCTGTCGAAAAGTTCAGTCCTGCCTAGCGACCTATTACTTTGTTCATCCAGCATCGCGTAGGCTCTGAATCGGTTATCGGGATCGTCGATGTGCGAAACAGTAACCTGAACAATCTTTGCACAAGATTTGCCGGAAAAGTCACCGTTGCAAATATCCAAACAATTCGCGCTCACATTCGTTTCTGTTGGGTTCTCCCCGCCATACGGTTTCGCGGTTTGAGAATTCTGATCATCTGCAGTATGCATTCCTGTGCTATGAGTTGAGCTTCCACAATCTTGACAACGGACCTGTTCGGGGCAATTTCGACTCCGATGTTGTGTAGAATTAAGGCATTTGAAGCAAATGTTGTTGTCCTTGATAATTTTATAAGATTCATAAGATTTGGATTTAAACGATCTACATTCATTCAACGAATGATTCGACTTGTGAATAGCACACTTGAGTTTCTCCTTCGGTCTGCTATTTTCTTCCGATGAATCGATGTCGGTCTTGTTGACAGTAATGTTACGTTGACGTTGTTGTTGGGGTTTCGGGTTTGACTGTCCAGATCCCCTGTCACGTGGATGCGGAACATGATTTGTCTGATCGTGATCGAATCTGAATCCTGGATCGTTGTACTTGCTAGTCTGATCGGATATGAATTCGACGAAGAACGAAAACGGTGGATAAGGTACATTGTTTGATCTCTTGTAGCTTGTTGCTCTATCTCTCCATTTGTTTTGAAGCGATGCTGGTAGCCTATTTACGATAGGGTTCACACCAACGGATGTGTCAAAGTAGCTAAGTAGTTTCGCATACACTGGGTTATCCTTTGTTGCTAAAATCTCTGATAGTATGTCTTGTAAATCGTAAAGGCGTCTCACATCTTTAAACGTGATTTTCGGAAAATCGTTGATTTTGGACTTCAGGGATGTTTCCACCATTTCGGGGCTGCCGAAACGTTCCTCGAGCCTCTGCCATATCTTGTAGAGTCCTGCTTGAGGATCGTTGATGTTTGACGTTCGGATGCTTTGAGCGAATTTGGCGGATTCAGAACCAAGCCATTTGATTAGGAGTTCACTTTCTTCTACAGCGGTTACTTGCAGCTCTTTAGTGATAGCTTGAAAACTTGACTTCCAGAGAGCGTATGATTCAAGTCGGTCATTGAATCGGTTAAATCGTGACATAAGAAGGTCTTTCTTGAGAAGAAAACGTGAAAAGTCGCTCAAAGTAGCATTGTTGTCACTTTTAGCTGGAGGTTGAAGAAGAGACGAAGATACGTTCATCGGCGGTAGAGACGAAGACGGTAAATTGTCCATTTGAGGTTGAGACGGCGAAGAATTAATGTTTATCGCGGGATCACCTTGGTGTGGAGGTGGCACAAGTATTATGCTGGAAGCACGTTCTGGTGCTGATTGAGGTGGCACATGCGAGTTGTGGAATCTCGGTATGAACGGAGTACTAGTGACGTTTGGAAACGGATCCCTGTGAATCGCGTTGTACTGAAGACTCGGAGCTAAGAACGTTCGATTTCTTTGGTCTTCAATGTATTGTCTAGTTCGCTCCTGTTCATCTTGTTTAGGAATTTCATGTAGGGAATCAATATCACGTTGTGATCCAAGTTCGTCCATTGCGCCTTCATACTCTGCACTAGCTATAGCTGCCGCTTTCTGTTGGTTAAGAAGTTCTAGATCGGCTTTATTTTCCATCTGTTTTCGTTGCATTTCTGCACCTGCCTTCTTAAGTTCGGTTTCCCTTTTAGCATATTCCAGCGACGCTTTTGTAGCTTCGACTCTAGCCCTCATTTTTATGATGGACGAATTTACTGACGATCTCCTCCTACGGGCGCTTCCTGATTTTAATGATATTGGTTTACTGGCATTCATTGTTTGTTTTCTTTGGGCAATTTCTTGGAGAACCTCGTCTGCATAGAGTTTTACATTCGTATAAACTGACTCATGGGCTCGTAATTCTCGTTGACTTTCAGTCGTATTTTTTCGTGTCAAATACTGAGTGAATTCTTCGGCTACTTCAAGAAATCTTTGTAAGGCTGTGCTGATTCGGCTGTTGCACACATTCAAAGATTCGTAAGTTTGATCTTTTGATTTGAACGTCCCAATGTCATAGTCCACATTGTCTTTCAATAGCTGGAGTTTTGAGTAATATGATGTGACGTTTGCTTCATATTCCTGTTGCGCTTTCTCGGTAAGCTTACGTGTTCGTTGTTCCTGAGAGGTACATGTATCATCCTGTGATGCTTTCTCGGCTGGTGTTGCCTCGGATTTGTCCACGGTGCTCATGGTGCTGTAGAAAATCCTTTCACTATCACGCCTGGCGTGTAAAGTTACAACTGCGTGTAGTTTAAACCAGTTTATTCGGAAATGTATCCGAGCAAACCAATTGGTGAAAGGCTGCAAAATATACAAAAATTCAATGTAGACAACGTTCGTCTAATGCAAATTAAATGCAAATTAAACACATAGGAACGTTATGGCGGAAAGTGCGTTCCATACAGACGTGGAAACATCGGCGAAATGGGGGTTTTAGACAAACATCAGAAATGTATCAAAATGTGCAAAACAGGTCAGGAACATTACGTAAACAATAAAGGAATAAGCACAGGTCAGTTAATTATTCATTCAGGTAAGCCACAAGTCGGAAAAATAAAAACTTGGGCCTAGGTATGTCACGTGTCCCCAATAAACAAAGGAAAATCTCTCATAATAATTCAATAAAATGTATAAAAACCTATCTACGTTATCCATTAAACTTATCAAATAAAATAAAAAACAATTTCTTACATTGTGACCAGCCTAAGCGTGTGAAATCATAGCAAATCTATCAAAGTTGATAAACGGAAATTGCCAACATCGTAAACAACAAGTTCGATCTGTCCACTTTACTTGCGGAGGTCAGTAATGAACACAAAACGAAACGCAAAATTACGAAATTAAGATAAAGTTACGAATATCAATAGAAATTGTGAATATTCAAATAAAAGTTTATGATAATCAAATATTGATTCTAGTCATTTGCTAAACACTGTTCCAGAATATTCATATAAATGTATCTTGTTATATCAATAGATTAATCGATTTCTAAGTTAGACTTCAGGGAATACTTATCTCAGAACTGGTACCATGGCTATATACAGTATATAATATAATATGCAATGTATGTTTGTGTGTGTGTGTCTTTTCAACTAAAATCATACGGATGACTAATTTTCTCATAATTAATAGACTTATCTATTGCTCTGTGACCTAGGCCAGTCCTTTCATTGAGACTCGTCTCAATACACCCTAACGCTAACTAACCCTGTGCCAGTGCCTTATATTGAATAGTAACTTGTTACTCTTCAATCACCCTAATCTCTAACAAATCGAAAGGATAAAATGTCGACGATGAGCTGTGTACACTTTCACTGATTAGCTTATATAGCTAGAGAATTTGTGTTTCAGAGATTAATGTACGATTCTTGAATCTGTCCCTTTAATGTTTAATGTGACAAATATCTCCAAATCCAATCACTATCTACAGTAAAGTCTTGTTTTGGGTGTGAAAAACATCTCACTAATTGACAATTAACAGTGTTGATTAAATTAGGACCATAATTAAAACTGATACAGTTGTTCATCTGTAAACATTGGTGGATACACTCATATACATTGGCTACTTCATATGGTAAGAGTGTACAATTTGGTGGACTGGAACGTTTACCTACCACTTTCTTTATATTAATTTCTGTAATAAATGAATAATATAAATAACTAAGTTGTTGCAATCATGGTACTATTTGATGAATAGGCCCATGTCGTTTCAGTCTATTTTAAATTTGAAAAAAAAAACTTACTCTGGCAAAATCTGAAATTTTTAGCGGCAAGTAAATCAAATATTTAGTTGACTATAATCCCATTATTAGAAGTATATATATCCCTTTATTCTAAACCTACCAGGTAAGTACTGTGTTGAACAGCCATTGTATATATCACCAAATATCTCTAATTCACATATTGATAAATAATCTGGGTTGTTCAAAACAAACAGAACAAATCTTCCCATACATATTTTCGTACATGTTAAATTTGTCCAGGTGCCTCTCTCTGCTGTGTTCGGGTAGTGGACACAAATACAGTATTCAGTATCCACCATGTTATATTTGATATGAGGACCAGGATCATATTGCCAAACAGAAACAGTAAAATTGTTCAATCTATCACCTAAAATTATTGTTTGAGAGTTGTTCACAGGAAATTTGGTCCTACTTAATATTGGTCACAGTTAATACAAAGCAAATTATATTGTGACCAAATTACTGTGACCTTTTTACCTTTTGACATATTTTTGGATTGCCGAATTAAATGCTTCTTTGTTCGGGAGATCTTAATCATGCACAGTGTGTAGAATGGTCTCAGCATTTTTTTGTCCCATCCGAAAAATAGTCAACTCTGGAATTATACTGGACAAGGGCATACACTTTTACTCCCTATTTGTAATAAACAAAAGCAGAAAAATAGAATTCTAAAATTCCTTGTAATGAATTTTGAGAACCATTTTAGATATAATTGATCCAAATACTTAATATAAAATAAAGAGAAGAGCAAAGTCTCCAGTCAAAATACTCAACCTGCGTCGTCTTGTCTATTTAAGACCTTGATACTTGTAATTTCATATTCAGCTTCTCAGTCAATCACCAACCAATTGGGTGTATCTGTTGGATATGTTGTATGAGAGCAACTATAGTCGTCCTTCATTACATTTCCATCGACCGCATTGGAAGGAATTAAACCTAAGCCATAATAACTAGTTTGTCTAGTTGGTTTGTTTAGTGCCAGATTCTCTAATCCAAAAACAAAACAAAAACACGAAAAATTATCTCACCAAGGAAATAGAGTAATTTATTTACAGCTAAACTAACTGTTATGATAATTATAAATGAACTTTTATAAATGTATTACAGTATTAGGTAATTGTAAATTAGCGTATACATCTTTATTTACAACATGTGGTAATTGTAACTGAGAGTGTACAATAACTTTACTAACACCGTGAGGTTTATTTCATATGAGAGTTTACAAGATTATTTACAACATAACCTAATGTAATTGTAAATGAGGGTGTCCGATAACTTTACAAACAGTATGAAGTTTATTTTATATAAGCGTATAAAACATTCAATACATTGTTTTTATAAACTGTTACAACTTTACTTACAACATATCTTAAGCTAAGGTAATTGATGAAGAACACCAAACCCATCGTGGTTCAATTGTGCTTTGACAAATGTTGATGCTTGTATAATTATGATAAACTTTTGTTCATTTCGAAACACTGATTTGTTGACATCTGGTTACACCCCCCCTCCGCATCCCCCTCGACGATAAATACAGTATTGCAGTTGTCAAGGACTTCTATCGACTGTATTCGTACAATTCAATATATTAGAAGCAGATGGTAACTAATGGACCTTCTGAACATGTCCCACTACAAGGTTAGACATATTTCAGCAGTTGTTGATATAGTCCAAGATAATTCTATATAATGTTAGATAAAACCACTTACCAACTTTTTTATCAATATTCCAAAATCCAAATAACAACAATTTCATCCACATAAATGTCATATTATCACATTGATCTATTCTATATAATTTCCTCCAATTTTGAAGATTACAACATTATATAAACGATATACAACGTAAAAAGGATAGAAAATATATTTATTAAAAACATAGGCAGAAACATGTAATGATGAATAGTAAACAGATTTGCTTAATAAGAAATGAATTTTTTTTGGTTCACTAAATAAACCCAATTAAGATCAAAAACCGTTGATGTAGTTGACGTAACTGACGTAGGTCTACTGAAAACAAAGTGAGAAATTGAAATTTTCTGACATCTCTAATTGGTCTACTGTTAATCAATATAGTGTACATTTTACTTATAAGAAAAGTATTATTTATAGCACAGTTTTTTTAATGAATTAACCAATTTAAAGGCCACGCCCGAAGGGAACGGCGTACTATGAATGACTTATAACATGATTGACAGAAGGGGGAGTGGCCTTCATGCTATGTAATAACCATTGCATGGGTTAAGTAGGGTTTACACAGGCAACTTTCTTCTTTCAATCTTTTTATAATCACACACCGGCAACCCATAAGTTGTAAGAGGATGCCTGTCTATACATGTTCTACAACCTGTTTCAACCTCCATGCTACAACCTTTTTAAACCAGCAACCAAAAAGGTTTCAGAAGCCAAATTTTGTTGAGGTTGCCCAAGGTTGCTACTGGCTCTGGGTATTGTAGGCAACGCCTTCACATTCTAGGAATCGCCTCGGTTTTGTATGCAACCTTTGCCGTTATAGTTAAATGATATCGACCAGTCATTGGTAAGACATTCCAATTCTTCGTCTTATGTCTGTGGTACTGCGATTCCGGAAATGACAATAGAATTCGTAACCATTTTACCACCAGATCATTATAAGGACTCACTCTACTAAAACATTTTATGCAAATGATTGTATGTAGTCCAGGATATTTTGAGAAATCTTCTTTCTCTTTCCCTTTGGGGTTTTTGCATGCCTATTTTGAGTAATTTTTGGTCTAGATTTGGAATTTGATGTCTGAAATTGCATTATCTTTTTGAGATTTGGTGAGATGATGAGAGACCTAAAGGCGGAAGTCTAATTCTAAAAATAGTCGTTTTGTGAACTGCCAAAATCTAGCGGATGAGTATAATCGGTAGTAGTCTACTTTCAATTTTAGTAGCTCAAAATTTTCATGGTCATCATATATTGAATTTTTTAGGAGACATTGAGAATTTGTCAGGCTTTCATTCGACATAATGGAAAGCTTTCAACGAGATTTCTTGAAAAAGTTATAGAAATGAATTAGAGGATTGGATCCATAACATAATAATATATGTTATCTCCCCTTAAAAGATGGCGGCATTTCTCAATAATAATTTCTGACTCATTCGCATTTTGCTTCACCGTTGCCTTATAAGTCTTTACTACCTCTTATATTGCTTAATTGTAATGGAATGGAGGAGTTGTATGATATTTGTCGGTTTTGAATACAGTGTGGTAAACATTTAGTAAGGTCAAGTTAGTCTTCCAGATCCAGTAGACTGTGGATTAACACAGACATTGAACGAAGAACTGGAATTTCCCAAATAGAAGTTAAAGGTGTCTCCGATACACATAAAAAGGCTAGAACACCTCTTTACAATCCCTTTCACCATTATTATTTTGGTGGCGATATTTTGGAAGAAGTGCATGATGGATCTAATCGGAAATTTAAATCCAACACTCGGCACTCGGACCAGTTGAGAAATAAGAACAATTACTTTATAACCCGATGATGTAGAGTGATCTAACAGAATTTGTACTTTATAGTATATTATAGTCTAAAACAATTTACTTTCTATACCTGCAGCCATTAATCGCTTTTCTTCATTATTCCAGAAATTTGAAGCAGTCAGAGTTTTTATGATTCTGTATTTTCCACAGACAATTGTCCCAGTAATGTTATTTCCGTTTTTTTTATTATTTGTTATTTCAAATGTAGATTATAAGTATTATGAATTTCTTTATTAGGTCCAAGAAGATTTATAGGATAACCGTTATGGTCTTCTTTGATTTAGTTCATTGCATATTAGCATCACAATTATTGTAAACATAACGTTAATCCTGTGCCAGTTACTGGTTACTCTTCAATCACCCTAATCTTTATCACATTAGCAATTCATATAAGAAATATTTACAATAATAGAATAATAATATAATATACAATACAATCAATCATGAACACAGCCAAAAGCATTCATAATGATTAAGAGATTATAAAGTACTAGAAATTATGAACCGTTATGCAGCAGGGTAGACCGACAAGTTTACTCTAAATAATACTACGTATTTTAGACACAGGCCACCAAGTAGATAAATGTCGTGCAATTTTGTATTAACTTGATTTAGACCTTTGAAACAATAAATTTTGTAAAGAATTAGATAATTATGGAATAAGATGTTCCTTACAACTTGACATTATGTACTTGTGTACAAATAGACAAATGTCCATCAGGCGATTATTTTTACTCTAACTACGTCGCCATCTTTATCAAATTTGTTGAGCCAATGAAATTCTTTTGATTGCCTGAAATTTTCAATTTAGATGGAGTTTCGGGTTTGTTATAACCCGAGCCTATAAATGAATAATACATTAATTTGAAACCGCGAATATTCCAGCAAACCGTTTGTACTGGTTAATATTTAAACATGCGCCCATTCGGTTATTTGAAACTTCACCAAGCTACAACGGCTACAACTAGATACTGTATTATTAGAATTTAAGAACATAAATCGGTCTGTATCATATCAGAACAACCGTAAACGGTTATAAGTACCTAGACACGCGGTTCTCTTATGATACACATAGCATTTTTTCCAAAAGATTTCTACGAAAAATTAAGAATGACACGCTTTCAGACATTTTGAGAAAAAATGACCCCACTCCACCTTTTATTGGATGCGATTCATTTCCCTGTGGAAACATACATGTTAACCCATTTTTTATACGCCCACATGGCGTATATTGCCGTCACCCATGTCCATCCGTCGGTCCGTCAACAATTGCTCGTAAACACTCTACAGGCACCACAATTCTTGACTGATTTCGACGAAACTTGGTATGGTTGTTTGTAATCACCCAATGGTGAACCCTATTGAAAATCAGAAAAATCGAAAATATTTAGTATGAGTTATTGCACTTGTTCTTGAAACGCTCATGTAATAAAAGTATTGTTATGTTACTTTCTTGATGTTCGCGTTGGTTTGTCATGTGAGTATATGTAAGTATGCATGTGACTGAGAGTCCATGTAAAGCGTAATAGTTTATTATATTATGTCTTGCCAATGACCGTTTAACTATAACGGCAAACGTTGCATACAAAACCGAGGCGATTCCTAGAATGTGAAGGCGATGCCTACAATGCCTGGAGCCAGTAGCAACCTTGGGCAACCTCAACAAAATTTAGCTTCTGAAACCTGTTTGGTTGCTCGTTGAAAAAGGTTGTAGCATGGAGGTTGAAACAGGTTGCAGAACATGTATAGACAGGCAACGGTTGATACATAACATGAAGGCCACTCCTCCTTCTGTCAATCATGTTATAAGTAATTCATAGTACGCCATAGCACCTTCAGGGCTTGGCCTTTAAATTGGTTAACTCATAAAAACTGTGCTATAAATATTACTTTTCTTATAAGTAAAATGTACACTATATTGATTAACAGTAGACCAATTAGAGATGTCAGAAAACTCTAATTTCTCACGTGTAGTTGTAATTTACCTCTTTTTTTTTAAATTTACCTATCATAACGTCATATTCATAGTTAAATATTGACCCCACAGTGTCCTGTATAGTATATTTCATGCAAGTCTAATGGAAATTGAAAATTGAGATCAGTTAAGATGATGGCAAATGAACATGTATTCCAGAAACAAAAAGCAAATTTATAGAGCATCATAAACATATATTATTCAATGGTTGTTATAGCGACATGAGTCTTATACAGTTTTTTTGTTTTGATTTTTATTAATATATTTATGTTCTATCCTTTTACTTCATATTCTGTTGTATAACGTTTATATATGTTGTAATCTTCAAGTTGGAGGAAATAAAGGAGTATATACAGTGGTGTAACCTATTTTCGTGCATATAAGGATTCTGTTTCCTCAAATATAGTACAAAATAACTAAAATTGGTTTGTTTCGATTTTGAAACTTTTTGAATCTTTCACTTTGACACACATTTCATGAGCAACCAACACGGCAACGGCGGCAGAATGCGTCACCTATTTTCGTGTACAATGTTTGATCTATAAATAAGTCTAGAAAAACACGTTGTATGGATACCAGGTGGTAAAATTAACTTCTCTTAGTTTTTATCTTTAATATCAATTCATTATAACTAGTGACAATTCCTTCAAAGAACCACGATTTTTAAAAAAAATAGTGATTGACAAAAATTCGTTGGACTACATTCTAGCAGAAGACACTTGGAATTCCGATTACCGCTTGGTTTTATAAGGAAATTCGGCCGATAAAAAATTGTGACGTTTGGTAATGACTGAAATCCGCCATTTTGTATTTGTCAAAGTAAACATTAATACAGTTTACCTTGCTTGAAACTACTGGATTCATTCTACTAGCTGACATTGTACAGATAACCCATGTTTATCCAAACAAGCAAATGTGGAGGTCACGGCAGGTCGCGCATGTAAATTATTAATCCTTTCCGGAAATTCACGAAAAATAGGTTAGCACGAAATTAAGTTACTTGACTGTATTTGAATAGATAAATGTGATAATATGTGGATGAAATTGCTGTTGTTATTTGGATTTTGGAATATTGATAAAAAATTTGGTAAGTGGTTTTATCTAACATTATATAGAATTATCTTGAACTATATCAACAACTGCTGAAATATGTCTAACCTTGTAGTGGGACATGTTCACAATATCCAGTAGTTACCATCTCCATTTACATTTACAATTACAATAGGTTTTGTTGTAAATGAAGTTGTATATAAATTTATTGTATTCGTTTATTTAAAATTACCCC